CCCCAAAGGTGATCTTTGTCAAGCGCTCCATGGGCGTGGGCTACGCGGGCGCCGACAACCCCGTCTTCTACAAGCCCAACACCGTGATGCTCCTGGGAGACGCCAAGGTCATCTCCGACGGCCTCAAGGCCAAGCTCGGGGACGCGGTTCACTAGATCGCGATCTGTCGGAGATCAGATCACGCCTCACGCCGCCAGGGACCTGAACGCGAGCGGGGCGGCTCGTGAGACCTGTGGGGGCCGGCGGCGGCGCGCCGCTGCGGGCGCACACGTGCTCGATGCAACCCCGTGCACGTGCACAGCACATTTTCTGGGGCATTCGAGAGCAGAGGGCGCAGCAGGGTTTTGGAAGGGCAGAGCCCGCAAGCCGCGAGCCTCCCGCACTCGGCACAACGGGGGGGGTTCATGGAATGAGTCAGTGTTTTGAGGCCTGTTGTCGCCCGTTTTCCCTGCTGCTGCCGGCTTGCACTGCTCACACAGCAGCAAACCACTTCACCGTCAGCCTCCAGCAATTATGTTTTCGCACACTTGTGTGTCTCGGAATTACAAACCACCCTTGTGTTTGCTGTAACAGTGAGTTTTGGCCCTCACTCCTGATGGCAGCATGTCTGTTTGACTGCCGGCCCTGCGACTGCGGCGACTAGCTGCAGCCAACATGGCAAAAGCGATTTGGAACAGCAAGACCGCTTGCGTGCAAGGAATGCTGCTGCGCTGCAGCATGCGGGCCGCTGCGCAGAGGTATTGCGACGAGGCACGGCCTGGCTCGGCGGGTGGCGGGCGCCTGCTCGGGGTTCAGGCGCGCCCAGCGCGGCGCCGCCGCGGTGGGTGGCGGCAGCGCAGGCGCGCGAAGCAGGCAGCCAGGGATGCAGCCGAAAGTGGGGATGCAAGGCTGCCCGCGGCAGGTGGGGCGTCGTTTCAGCACCAAATTCAAACAAGCTCAATGCAATCACGCTCGGTTCCCATGAAAAGTCAAGGAAGGCGAAAGTCCTCATGCATGGTTTGACAACCGCTCATCGGCAACGAGCGCCGCAGCCGCAAACGCCGACCGCTGGCCGGCCACCCGCCGCCTGCCCTCTTCCTGCAGCACCCCCTCGCCGTCTGGCCCCTCTGCGCCCGCCACCGCGTCCACGTCTGCCGCCGCCGCCGCGCCTGCCGCCGGGCATGCCTCGGCGGCCGAGGCGGGTGCGGAGCGCCAGCCCGCCTGCCCTGAATCGCCGCCCAGCCAGAGGCCCCTGAAATTTGGGTATTGTTGTACTGGGATTCAGGGTTTAAGCGCGGAGACTCACGAGCACATACAGCAGGTGCTGCTCAGCTGCAGAACGTTGCTTGGTGCTGGGGAAAATGCAGCGCCCTGCTTGCCGGAGGTCACGGGAGTGCAGCAGGGCAGAGGCCGCCTCTACAGCGCTCATAGCGCACCACGCAGGCGCTGGCGGCATTGCGCCCCTCCCCTCCCAAAAACCCTCCTCCATCCCTTCAGTCACAACTAACTGCGCCATGCGCGCCCCAAGGGCCACACCCACCGCAAGCCAGGCTCCAGCGCGCCGCCGCTGCCGCCATTAGGCAGCTGCGCCAGCCGCGACGGCGAGTGCGCCTGCCGCTGCTGCTGCTGTTGCTGCTGTTGCTGTTGCTGCTGGTGCCGCTGCCACTGCGGCGGCCGCACCGGCGCCGCGCGCCGCTCGCCGTCGCCGCCCGCCCAGCTGCCGGAGCCCGGGCCGCCCAGCGGCTGCGCGCGCCGCCCGCCGCGGCCGGCGACGAAGGCGGCGACCAGGTGCATGGCACCGCCGCTGACCTCTGGCGATCCGCCCACGCTGCCGCCGATGCTGCTGTTGTCGCCGTCGTCAGATCCCCCATTGCACACCTCGCCGGCGCTGCCCGCGCCGCTGTCCCCGCCGCCGCCACTGCCATTGCTGCAGAAGCTGCCCCCGCCGCCGCTGGCAGGGCGGCCGCGGCCGACGCCGGCGCCGGCTAGGTAGGCGGCGGCCGCGGTCAGGCTCGTTGCGGTGTCGCCGCCGGCGCGGCGGCGGGGCGGCGGCGCTGGCGAGCCCAGGCTCCAGGCACACGCCGCCTCACCCTCCCCCACCCCGCCAGGCAACAGTGTTCCATTGCTCGCCTGGCCCGCCCCCTCGCCGCAGCAGCAGGCGCACGCCGCTGCGGCGGCGCCGCTGGCGTCGCAGGGGCCGGGCGCACCCCCACACCTGCGTGGACAGGG